AACTTTCATCACATAGCTGTACAAACTCTTGGTCTTAAAAGCAATTTGTTATACTAACATTTTTATACGGAGTATCATAAAGAAGTCATCTGTATGTGAAATTAATCAAAAAGATGTATTTTAAATTTGGTGGTCCTTTGAAGATAGGTCTTGTGGTTTTATTCATTATGTTCAAATATCTTTTGTTTTATCAGCTTTTTGTGCTGGGTTTTATGTTTCTGGCCCAGTGGACCATTTCTCTGTGTGATTTTAATTTTATCTTGAGGCCATATTCAGTGGCTTCATTTTCCCTCTTTGTGCTGGTGAGATGATTAAGTCTTATATACTGGACTGAGAAAACATTTTCTAGCTCAAGACCCATTTTTATGTAATATTCATATCTTCACAATTTCATCCATAGTAACTTGAGGATCGAGTTCTCTAACTGGAGTCATTTCTAGCTATCTCAGTTTTGTTGTTGTTGGATCCAAGCTACCTTGCTGGTTTTCAATAGTGGCCAAGTTTTAGTGTTATTTTCATAGATGTTTAAAAACAATACATAACATCAATTCAAATTTTTCTCGTTTGATTGTGGATCTCATCCATAGACTCTCCAGCCCCATCCTTATTGAAGCTATGCCCAATAATAAAACCTCCCACTTGATGTTGTTACAGTGTGGTTTAAAAGACGATGGCCCCCAAAGGGAGTGACAATAATGGGAGGTGTGGCCTTGTTGGAGGAAGTGTGGCACTGTGGAGGTGGGTTTTGAGGTCTCATATATGCTCAAGCCATTCGTAGTGAGACAGACCCCTTCCTGTTACCTGTGAGTCAAGGTGTAGGACTCTCAGCTACTTCTTTCTCCAGCACCATTTCTGTCTTTACCTCTGGTATGGCACCATAATGATAATAATGGACTAAACTTCTAAAAATGTGAGCAAGCCCCAATGACATGTTTTCTTTTACAAGAGTTGCCATGGTTATGGTGTCTCTTCATAGCAATAGAAACCCCAAGGCACACAGGTTGCAGCAAATTCTGATCATTACCCAGAGTCTCCAAATTTGAAAGTTTAAAAACTTTTTCTTGTACTTAAGAATTACCATTTAAGTTTTGTTAAACAAGCTGTTTTTTTTTTTCATAAGAGGTGTTTCAGACAAGCACCATGTTAAAATACAAAGAGCATCTACATAGGATTCCACCTTTTTTTTCTTAAATCAAGAGTTGCTAACATTTTTTACTGTTCCACAAGACACCTTTCCTTAGTATTTATAGAAACTACACTGTTAACAATATTGTAAATAACTTTAATGTGTTATAATGACATAATATCATATTCACGATTTGCATTATTGTACTGTCATATTCCTAGATTGCTATCTTGTTTTTGGTAAATAATCTAGCAATATGCCAATTAGCAGGAGAGATTACTACTTTTATAATAATATTAAAAGTTGGGGTAATCAAGGAACATCAGTTTTCAATATCTGGACAATATTATACTTTCTCAGGCTTTTCTATTGAGTATGAGGACTATATTTTCATTCTTCACAGTTATCTTTTTATTTAGTGCTTAAAACAAACCAGAATTTATTATTCTTTGCTTTGGGGAATTTCACTTGTCACATCCTTTTAAGCACAGCCCGTATTCAGGACATTCAAAATCAGTTGTTGTTGTAGTGATATGATAGGATACCAGCATAAACACTTCCAGAACCATCTACTCACACGAACATCTCTCTGCCCTCTCCATGTTCACTTGTTTGCCTAGTGATGTCTGCCCTTTCGTGTTTTTTTCTACTCCTCACTTACTTGGTGATTTCAGAAGCTGGTTTCCTTCTCATAAAGCCTGCCTGGTTTCTCGTCTTTAACATATTTTTAAAATTTTCCTTTTTCTTATATTGTACATATCTTACTGTCCCCAGTTTAAAATGGGCATCTGTGTGGCTCACATTGCTAAAAGTATGCTCATATATTTGGACTCTTTTGCTCATTATGTATTACAACTTGGACTACAATAAACCTTGAAAAATATATACCTCCTGGGTAAATAACATATAGGATACAGCTATGGGGTAAATAACTTACCTAGAGCTCCCCTGAAACATTCTGCTAGGAAAGCAATGAATTGAACTCAGGTAGTCAGCCAGTAATAAAAGCAGCAGTTCTGAAGGAGCAACACTTAGTTCGGTTTGTGCTTATCGCTCTGGCCAGATATGAGCTCTGATTGCACCCAGAATTTTTTTGTAAATGCAACCCACCACACTTCAGGAGTCTCCTATGGTTTTCCTGAGGTATATATTGATTTCGCATAGTTACCTGATTTTTTGTATGTTTGTTTGTCCCCTCAGAAGAAATATTCTCCTTCATCCTGGTACATATGTTCTTTCATTTAGATGGGAAACTAGAAGGCTATTTTTGTTTGCTTTACATTTCAAGTATTATTTATATTAAAGTGCTTTGAAATGGGTCTGTATTGCATCTATCTGTAATAACAGCTGTGATAAATCATTCCCCTTCCAACCCCCAATCTTATTATAATAGGGAACATATGGGCTCTTGAAGGAAACACCAAAGTATGTCCTTTGAAACAAAGTAATACAATTTATTTAAATGGTAATAATGTTCTCTGTAACATTCAAGGCAAAGGCATACCCTTGATCTGCCAAATTAGGGTCAATGAATTTCAAATTTACCAAGTACTAGTTGACCTTTCTGACTTTGCCCATCAGTAAACTAGGAGCAGAGGGTCATTTTTAATTGTTAAACCACAACCACAAACTTCTATGAGAAGTTGCAATTACTAATCAAATTTATAAAGATGATTATGTGTTTAAAAGTTTTAAATTTCTCACTCTAAATCTTTATGAACACATGAATTTGGAAAATGGGAAACAAGGAGAAAATTCACCCATAATCTTAGCACACTCGACAGCTGCTATTAATGAATTACCATATACTCAGTCATTTTCTTCCTGTAATATGTGGTAGTATGGTTTTATAATATAACTGCAATTATACCTCTTTGTAAATCTGTTATTTCAAGTACATTTATATTTTATACTATAAATGTCTTTATAATATATACATATATATACACTCTTAATTAGCATATTTTCAAAACCACACTATATGATTTCCTATAACCTTGTGGTTGTAGATTTTTATACTCTAGAACTCTCAAAGAAATCACTTTCTGCTCTTCTGTGTTACATGCTGGTACAGGAAGGATAGAACAGTGCTGGCTGCTATGTTCCTCTTGCTCCTTGATTCTAAATCATGGTTTCCCCCACTGTGTTTCTCAACTCTTCATTCAAGGATGAAGCATGCATGCTTTATCACAGCGCTGTCTGGTTCATCTTCATTCTTCCCACATTCTCTATGGATGTTGGTGGTCCTTTCCACTTTCTTAATTTCAACTAACACTGAGTTATTTGACTTGAAATACGGCTGATATTTTAAATCCCTAAATTCCACTCTCTGTTAACAGTCACAGTATGTGTTTTTTTTTTAATTAAACATTGCCCCTATACAGGATTCCAACATATATCATTGGCTGGTCAGGAACTGGCAATGTAGACCAGGCTGGCCTGGAATTCACAGAGGGACACCTGCCCCTGCTTTCCAAGTGCTGGGATTAAAAGGTACACACCTCCTTGCCTGTCTTATATATGTAGACATGCATTGTCTATTTTTATATGGATGTGTGTGTGTGTGAGCACAAGTGCCTGAAGATGCAGATGAATGTATATCTTCATGAGCAGGAGCTCCTGCTATCTTCCTAGGTCCTCCACAAGAGCAGGAAATGCTCTTAACTGCTAAACTATCTCCACAGCCCTTCCTTTTATATGGATGAGTCGATTTTTACCTATTATTGTATCCTGTTCTTCACATTTCCAGGTTCTGCTGCCTTGCTGTCTTGCTTACACAGAGTGCTGCAGATCTTTCCCTTCTTTCATGTTCAATTTGCAGCCAATGCATAGACTGTATTCCTTTTCCACATCTGATGAACAGAGCATGAGCATGAATGAATCCTGTATGTTACGGTCACTAGGACGCCTGCCCCTCAGCTGGACATATTAGTGCTGCTTCAGTACATGCTCTCCAACTTCAGCTCAACCCACTTTTTTCTTTCACTAATTTATATTAGGTGCCCCCCACCACTACTTAATTAACTCACTTGCGTATTTCTTCAATGGATTTTTTCAGAGACATTGCCTCTCATTCATCCAGGACACCAGCACCAGACAGCAGTGCCTCCTTTCTCTTCAGTGCACAAGAATATCAAAAACTGGTTCCCTTAAGATAATAATCTGCATCTACTTAAAAAATAACAATAAAAAAATCCAGCAATTATCCCACAACTGGGAACTTAGAGTTTTTCTATTTAAAACTAGAACAGAAAATAAGGGACTCAGTGTGAACACAAATCTCAACATAACATTAGGAATCTTTGGCAGTTTGTTAAGGCTAGAAGAATACATACATAGAATAGGGTATGGAAAGAAGGTTCAGATAGGGAAGAGGGTATGGGAAGAAGGTTCAGTTAATTTCTGTCTGTGAATGCATGAGGATCTGAGTTCAGATTCCATACACCCATGTAAAAAGCTAGAAGAGGCAGTGTGTGTCTATAACATCCATGCTAGGGATACAGAAATAGGCAGGTCCATGGAGCTCATTATCCATACAGCCTAGCTGAACCATTGAACCTCAGGCTTGTTGAGAGATCTTAACTCAAATATTAAGGTGGAAAGCAACTGAAAAAGACATCTGACTCCAGTCCTCTGGCTTTTGTACTCAGGTGCACATATATACACATGCGCATATATATGCCACACAGAGACAGAAAATAAGGACTGTAAACAAATCACAATCCTAATTGTGGAGAATATGCTATTCTAAGAGTATAGGATACGAAATATAGGAGTGAAGTGACTCGATTTTCTCTGTAATGATCCATGTGATATGTTGATTTATTTTTCAGTTTAAATTTGACATATGATTAATAATGCTGATGTCTTTTAGGTATAGCTTACCTGAACGGAATGTGTAGCGAAAAGAGAAAGTGTATTATTGCTGAAGACAATGGCCTGAACCTTGCATTTACAATTGCTCATGAAATGGGTCACAAGTAAGTAAAAGCCATCACCACATTGTACATTTAGCACATAGATTCATAATGTTAGTTATTGGGATCCATGTGTGTTGTTGATTATTCTCTTTGGAGCCCAGTGCTTTAAAACTCTGAGGAAGTCAGTATAAGAAGTAGAAGCAAGGAAAGCAGAGCGCGTTTTGCAAGCTGTAACCATTCCTGACACCTTGAATAAGGCCCCATTCTGCTGTTGCTGTCCTCATCAAGACAGTGCATCAGGAGGACACATGACTGATTTCACTAGACATTTCCAAATAAATATTTGATAGCCATGAAACTGCAAAGCAGTATTGTTTTCAACAATCACTCAAGAAGATCCCACCAGACAATTGACAGTACTTCACAATAACAGAATCTCTATCAGTGCAGACTGAAAGAATTCATCTGCACAGTTTAGGTAAACAATGAAATGAGACACAGCATTAACATCCAGTTAGCACTAACTCAATCCCAGACATTATTTGTCAAGTCCAAGCATCTTCTACACACTGGTTCACTTAGTATATTACACAAGAGGATGAGTACAGCCATAGTTCTTCTGATTTTTTATTTCACTGGAAATAGATTTTCAATACAGTATATATTCTGATTATGGTTTCCCTTCCCCCAAGTCCTATCCAATCCTTTACATCTCCCCTCCCATCCACATTCACACCCTTTCTTTCTCTCTCATTAAAAATCAAAACTGTATCTAAATAATAATAAAATTAAAATTAATAAACAAAAACAGAAGAAAAGGAGCCAACTAAAAAGTACAAAAAGCACATATAGACTCAAGGAGACACATGTTTATACACGTAGGAGCCCCGTGAAAACATAACACCAGGAATCATAATATATTCGTTAAAAAAACCTATAAGGAAAAAGTTTAAAAGGCTTGCTAAAATGTCATGAGACAAAGGACCAACAAAAAATGTCATTATGTTTGTTTTGTGTTGGTCTGCAGTTGTAATTCTACCAGTGTCATTAACCCTGATGATAATCAGTAAACAGCATTTACACATTTTTAAGTATTTAGAGGATTAATCTTGTGCCTGAGTGCTGTTGCACTCTCATATTATGGCAAAGAAACATCAGAAACTTTATTTGCCCCCTCAAAGTTATAAAAATGGCATTTATTGGAGTAGGGATTTGACCACAAGCCATTGAATGCGAGTCATACTTGTCTGGATTTCTACATTAAGTTAGCTGGTATCCTTGGACCTAAGGTTTCCTTCAGTCAGTTAGGCATAATACATTTGTGATTGGGTTACTTTAAGATTAAAATGGCATAAAAGCTTTTCATTTGTTTTCAAGAAGTTTATTGGAATAGACATGGTATAGATTGGGAACAGACTGAATAGTGAATGTAAGCTTTTCAGTTTGCTGGTCACACAAGCAGCAGAAATGTAGTCAAGCAAGATAATCTTTAAGAAAACCTTGCTCCTCCAAACACTTCTTATTCACTTTTTTGTCCCTTGTTTATTGTAATTATCTATTAATCTGTTATCAAATTAATGAATTGAACATGATGGTATAATCAGATAGAGGTGCAATATAACCAGGTAGAGGCATAAAGAAGAATGAAAAAGTCTGGTAGATGAAGTGAAATAATCCCCACTCAGAAAAGACAATTACCATATTTTTTCTCATTTGTGATTCAAAGTCACGTACTGCATATTTTATGACATGAAATTGTAAGAGAGATTGGGGAGGGTATTGTCAAGAAGGAAAAAATAGAGGGTTTGGGAACAAATATGATGTACTGGAAGGAAATTGTCTTTATGAAACTATTTGCCATAAATATATGCTAAAAGTTTTGAACAAATAAAGAAATTAAGAGACTCTAGAAACTGTCATCTCTTAAGATTCTTAGAGCAGGAACTTCACACTGAAATTAGTGAGGAGTACAGGTCAGTTTATTTACTGTGCTGTGTTGCCTAGAATTCCCTACAGCAAATGTGTCATGTGTGCTCCCTCTTACCACTATACTTTGGCCAATGTCACACATTCCTCAAATGAGTGAGTAAAAGGGACAGAGTTCCAGAGACAGGCAGTCTTCACTCACAGTTTTGCAGTTAGAAGGTACTTTGTACATTTGCTTTTCCTCTCATCATAGGATGGTTACTATTATAATTCTGTATGTGCTGATAAAGCGGTAGATATTCACTTGGTAAGAAATTCAATACTTCAAAGGAAAAATGTTAAATGGCTTTTTTTTTAAATGGCAACTTTAAACACATTCTAGGTAGCAATAGCATACTATTCCTCAATGTTCACGAGAAATAAAAGGCAGTACTAACTATGTCTGTATTTTTTAAGGACACAGATGTTAAAAGTCATTAGAAATATGGGCCTGGAGGTCCTGTATTTATTGAACAGTCCTTTGTAGATAATGGAAGGTTAAAATTTGAGTTGAAACATAAATGAAGATTTGCATAGGAAAGCATTTTACTAGGGAATAATGACACATGTTAAGCTAGAATTAACTGTTCCAGGCAAAATTAAATTGAAGGCAGTTGGCAGATGGTTTGAATAATGGTATAAAGAGGAGGTTTTAGCTAGTGTATCATTAGTTCTCAGAATTTTTGAGTAAATAAGAATCATCTAGAAAATGTACTAAAGTAGAGTTGCTAAACTCCTATCCATCAGTGTTCTCTTTCAGTTGATGGCAGTAAGTCTAGGGACTGTACAGTCTAACTGACCTCTTGTCAGTCTACATGCCCTGTCGTTCTGTTGCAAGCCATCCATTCATGACAAAAGGAAAGGCAAAGCAAAGCAAAAAGGAAAGATTTTACATCAGAGACTGGGGCATAAGTGGATAGGATCAGCACTTGTCATCATTGATGGCAGTAGTGGCACCAAAGCGGGGACAGGGAGGACATGTATAAGATAAAACCTCTCAGGACCTGTCCTAGGTTATCAAGAATTCCCCAACCCTAGTGGATAGTAAACGTAGCAATAGTAGAACTTGATGACAATCAGATCTTTGATGCCATCTCCTACAACATCAGTGCATCGTTTGAGCTTATCAAGTGCATGAAACACGCTAGGTAGGTTCATGGAAGTGTGGGGAAAGTTGAAGGAAACCTCTTATGCCTGCATTTTTCTTTCTTTCCTTCCTTCCTTCCTTCCTTCCTTCTTTCTTCCTTATTTTCTTTCTTTAAGCCTATATGGGGTTGTTTTTTGTGTGTATGTTCTTCTTTTCTACTGGAAATACAATCAGTATCTTCACACATGCCAGAAAAACATTTTAGCACACATCCAATTTGTTGCCTTTTCTTACTCATATTTTAGAAATGCTAATGAAAATACTTGTTACATGGATGTTTTTGCAAATTAAAGTGAGTTAAATGATTATTATATAAAATTAAATGGCAGATTTTAAACTGACCTTTAATTCCTAATATCTAACTGTTTTTCCAAGAGGACACATCAGTGTAATTACATCAAATAGGATATATTCATGCATTGAATGGAATCAAATGCCATTTCATGGAAACCAGTTTACTTCCAGTTAAGACATGGCGATCACTTGTTTCTTCTTCTTTTTTTTTTTAACATAATATTTTTACATAATATAGAGCTTCTGGAGAAAATATTATATTATGTCATGAAAAAATATTAACACGGGCACCAGAATATTCCCCTTTTAAATTAGTTTTTGAGGATTTCATACATGAAAATTGTAATTGCAGTATTTCCTCAATTCTGAAGTTCATGACCTGTATTTAATTTTATTGTTATGCTGATCCCGGTTAGTATTTGAGCTGGCCACTGGGATAGGTTTATCCGTGAGTTCATCCTTGAAGGAAACTGACTGTCCCTCTCTCAGAGGTCAATGATTTTCTGTAGGTCTTCACCTAGGGATGGGCCTTGGGACAGATATTTTCCCCATCTAAATTACCATTTCAACTGTTGCTCTTATGAGGATCTCGTTCATGCAACAATATTGTTGTGATTTCATGGATGCAGCTTTCTTGTCAAGTCTACAAGACACTGTCTCACAACAGGTCTCCTGGTCCTTGGCTCTTAGAGTCTTTCCTCCCCTCTTCTGTGCTGTTCCCTGATCCTTAGTGGCTACATTGTAAATACACCAGTTCAAGCGAAGCAGCATGCTTCACTTCTGTGTATTTTAATGTTGTGTATGTCTGAAGAAGTCTCCATCTGCTTCAAGAGATTTGATAAAAAGAGGTGAGAGCTGCATTTATCCATGTGCATAAATACTGAGATTATAGGTAGGAATTTTATTGCTTTAGAGAAAAAAAAATGGTAGTAGCAGGATCTTCTCTAGGGTCTGTGACTTCTCCTGATAGGAGTAGTTGGTTGCAGGCATGAATTCCTTCCTGTTTAGTGTGTGTTAAGTTCAATTACACAACTTCTTATTTAAATTTATTTTTCACTTATACATACCAAGCCTAGGGTCCCCTCCTTCCTCTTCTCCCCCCCCCCACCTCCCCTCTTCCTACCCTCCATCCACTCCAGAGGGCAATCAACAAATTGGCAAACTAAGTTGAGGCAGGACCAACCCTTCCCTCCTATATCAACGCTCAGCAAGGGAATGAGCTCAAAAAAAAAAAAAAAAAAAAAAAAAAAAAAAAGGCAGTTTATGCATCCAAAATAGCTGCCACTGCAAGGCCACTCCCCCCAACAGATCAAGTAACATAACTGTCACCCACATTCAGAGGACCTAGTTCAGTCTCATGCAGGTTCCCCAGCTGTCACTCCATAGTCCCTGAGCTCCCACTAGCTTGAGTCAGATGTCTCTGTGTTTTTCTCCATCTTGCTCTTGATCCATCCCTCCTTCCTCTCTTCAGCTGAACTCCAGGAGCTCAGTCCAGTGCTTGACTGTGGGTCACGGCATCTGCTTTAATCAGTTACTGGATATAGGGGCTATGATAACAATTAGGGTAATTGTCTAATTGCCTTAATCTGATTAAAGGGGAAGGCACATTCAGACATCCTCTCCACTATTGCTAGTAGTAGTCTTAGTTAGGGTC